GCCTGTGTGTGTGTGTGTGTGTGTGTGTGTGTGTGTGTGTGTGTGCGTGCGTGCGTGCGTGCGTGCGTGCGTGCGTGTGTATGTGTGTGCGTGCGCCCGCGTGTGCGCGTGCATGTGTTGAACAGTCGCTCTACAAACCGACACTGTTTCGCGCTAGGCCGGTACCAGTGAACGCTAGCAATTACCTGCCGCTTGCACGCGGTTTGACGCATTCCGCGACCGACACTCCGTGGCGGCGGTGTATACATGTATAGTATTTATCGCACCGGTATACAACCCTCGCTAGCCGTGCATCTACCTTACAATTACGACGTGGCCGACACTACCGTGCCATATACGTACTGTTTTCGTGTGTCCTAGGCAGCCGTTATACCCTAGCAAGCCCGAGACTTGCTATATTCCCCCTGTAGTGCCCCTGTAGTAAGCCCCCGCTGTAGCAGACAATAGTTAGGCCGATTACTTGTAATAGTTTAAACTTTTAGACCCGACTGAAAGCGTACCTGGCCTAAAGATTTCTTTCAGCCTCAGCGCCCGGAATAGATTCCAAACATGGCGATAATGGTGGAATGTACTTAGACGTTGAGGATACCTTAGAATAAGTGTTGAAAGGATAAAGAGAACGGATCGTAGACGAAACTGATTGTCACCCGATTGTGAATATGATAAAATTACTAGAAGATGGCGGCCGTCGACCAGTGATAAATAGGTGCGATTTATTTCAGTCGATCTTCTGAGCTTCTGTAGAGTCTATCGCTACACTACATGAACTTTATAAATGATAAATTATCGCACGCATTAACTGACTACAAGTCCGCACTTGGTACCGGGAATTTTTCTCCGGTTTTCCGGGACTCATTCAACCGCAAGTGTATTTGATCTGAATGCACACACGCGACCGAGAAGGGGCGCGAGTGCACAGTGGCGTCATCTTGGGAAGGGATGCGGAATATCGCACCCGGTTACCGATCGTTGCCACCGTAATGTTCGTAAACAAATGTGTGTTTTCAGTGTGCGATGTCGCGCAGCGGTAACGTACCGTATAGATCCTCTTCTTGGTTCCTCTTCTTGGTTCCTCTTCTTGGTTCCTCTCTTCGTTCTGAGGCGGTATAGCGTTACCGCATTACCCGCGACCGCTACGCTGCTTGTGTGGACAAAACCTACGGTAGAGGAAGCACACAGCAGACCTAGCTCTAGAACTATAGCCCTCTGCTCTGCTACAGGCCTGTAGATATAATGTAGAGCTAATGGCAGACCAGGATACCGTATAGATCGCACCGTATTTATAGACGTGTGATGTCGGATGCGCCTGGATCACCACAACGTATACTATATATATATGTGTGTGTGTGTGTGTGTGTGTGTGTGTGTGTGTGTGTGTGTGTG